GGAGGTTTCGGTCTGACGTTGTCGAACTATCGCGATGTCATGTTCGACAAAGCGGCCAACTCGAGCGTCTACGACTTTTGGGCTCGAAAGACCAGGGCTCGGATGACCGATCCAGAGAAAAGGGATATCGTTGCACCACTGGAACAGTTCCAGTGGTTTGGCGCCAAACGAGTCAATCTTGAGATGGACTATTACGAAATGCTGGATCGTCCAAATGTCAAGATCGTTGACCTCAAGAAAACGCCGATTACATCCTGCTATGATCAAGGCATCGTGATCGAAGGGCGAGAGTCTTTGCAACACCATCGACTGGACGTTATAATTGCAGCCACCGGCTACGACTCCGTCACGGGCGGCTTGTTCGAGATGAACATACACGACAAGCATGACGTGAAGCTTCAGAGGACTTGGGAGGCTGGGATCGACACCTATCTCGGTATGCTGGTGCCGGGGATGCCCAACGCATTTCTCCTGTACGGGCCGCAGGCGCCGACAACGCACACCAACGCGCCCTCTTTCATCGAACTGCAAGTGGATTGGATAGCGTCTCTTCTAGGAAAAATGCGCAAAGACGACGTCCGCTCGGTCGAACCAGCCGAAGAGTCTTGCCGGTCGTGGAAGGAGAAGGTGGCCAACGCCTTCAACGCAGGCCTTTTCCGAGAAAGCACCGCGTGGTGGACTGGTGCAAACATTGCCGGGAAGAGAGTCGAGCCTCTCGTTTTTTTCGGTGGGGTTCAGGCATGGCGGGAGGAGTGTCAACGCGCGTTGGAGGACTGGTCCAGCTTCCGTGTCACTAAAACGTAGGACGCATTAATCTAATGGTATTGTGGTCCGTCTTCACGGGTTCATAGAACAGCGACTGAGTAGCCTTGAATGTATTCCTGATGGGCGGTTTTGAGTGCGTTCCCCCGTATTCAGTCAAGTCAAACCGCAGGTTCTACGCCTGTGGCGCCTTTCCGTCAATTTCTTTGATTGGCCTTGTCCCGCCCTCGATGCTACAGCCTACATGGAGCGAACGGCGTCTCCAACATATTGAAGGGTGACAATTTGCTTCACGCAACCAACTTGGGCATCCATCTGACTCCACGCAACCAATCCAAGCATCGGGGCTGGATCATCGAATGCGCTTCCCGTTGCATCGCAACAGCCATTTGTGGGCGCAGCATGACTGTTCTTGAGTTGCGCGACAACCGGTACAGCTTGTCGTCCTACGGCGTCTCTGGGTAACACTCCACGTAGCAGTACAGAGCAAAGAGCAACAAGACATCATTCCCAAGGCTTTTGCTGGTTATTGTTGGCCGACCTTATCCAGACGTGGGAGGTGGAAGGTCGGGCCTGAGTGGACTCAAGGCCTGCTGATGGAACTCTCGGAAGGTACAAGCTCTGCATTGCGTCGGATATTGAGTTCATTGCAACTTTGCTATTCTCACTATCCGTGTACGGACCCTTAACACCTCGGCGGTTGGTTAACATCTCGAAGGGCCGGTTTGTGCTTTGCCATGTAGCGGTGTGTTCACCGTGACGAGCGGCCCCGTGCGTCCAGCTTGTATCCCCGAACCCAAAAAGAAGACTGCAGGAAGATGCCGTAGTTGAGGGATTTCCATGGCTTCGTTGGATCAACGACAACGAGCTCATATCTCCTCATAAGCTGGTCAGACAATCAGTAAAGCGTGCCCGCACGATGCTGCTCCTGCACCGAACAGTGGCCTCGACTAACCTCGACAAAAACTTTTTGCAGCTCCATCATGGCCACATTTCGTCCCAGACACTTCCATTTTCCGTGCCCAAAGACGAGTTCCAGCATGCCTTCCATCCGCTTCAAGTCTTCTGTCCCCGTTTCCAGCCACCGCTCCGGCCGGAACTCGTGCGCATCTGGCCCCCACAGATCGGTACGATGGAAGATGGCCCATGCGCCGTATCCGATCCGGGTTCCCTCCGGCAAGTGGACCCCCTTGAACGTGTCTCCGCCTTTGGGGACTTCCTTGGACATCTGGCCCACGACAGGCGGGAAGATCCGAAGCCCTTCCTTGATCACAGCTTGCAGGTACGGCATGCTACGCGCTTCTGC